ATATAAAAATTTATAAAAATTTGTTTTGTGGCTTAGGTTGATATCAACGAGGTTGATATTAACGGGGGTAACCTGTACTATCAAAAACTGTCGCTTTATCATTACTGCATTATATAATTATATTTATTTATATATAGATTGTAAAATACAATACGTATATAACATTAATGGAAGGTCATTTTGTGACCAACCAATCAAAATGATATCGACACAACTTCACATGACAGTATAGCCACAAAATTTGCAATAACGAAAGACTGGAAAAAAGCTATGTCACTCTAATTGTAAGTGCACTTCTTATTATTCGCACCTGTAACATAACGCATATACTTCAAGCATTTTCGTTAATAGTTGTCTTTAAGTCAGGCACAACGTTATAATGGTTGAAGAACAAAAGCAACTTTTCGACGCCATCTTTGATAGTAACGAGAGCGATAGAGGTGCTTTTCGATCGCCAATGCCCTGTCACGTCTTAAATTCAAGCTACAACAGAACTCCCTTTCCGATTCATAATGGCGGTATAGTCGCTGGTTCGGCCTTCTCTACTCCACCATATGGCGCGTTTCCTTCTCAAGTTCATCGAGAGGTAGCAAGTCGGATTCCTCCCTTTATAGGAAATCTATTTCTTGCTCAAAATTACCCATACCATTCTAAATCTTTCGATAATCCAAGTGCATTCAACTTTTCTCAACAACCTAGTATTCCAAATCTACTGTCATCTCCGAACCTGGTGGAATATGGTCATCCCTTTTTTTTTACAAACCATATGTCTCCCCATATGTCAACTCATCTGTCACCATATATGTCTCCTCATCCAGATCATAGCTTCATGTCTTCTTCACCTCACACTCCTCCCTCATCAAAGTTTTTACGTCCTCTTCCAAGGAGACCTGATAGTTCCCCACTTGAATCATATGGTTTACGGACTGAAAATTCCAGTCCATTTTATCCAACAAATGATCAAAATATCCATCATTCTATATCAAATTGGTACTTGAGATGTGTTACTCTGACAGATAACAAAAGTTCTTTTCCACCTGGAACTGATGTATGGATTATACTCTCTGGTGTCCTTAAAAAATCAGGTGGTCAAAATCGTCGGTGGCATTCATCGCTCATTCTTGATCGGATAGACCAAAATTTAGTAAAAACTGATAGGAACAATTTTTATAAACTTGAAGGAGAGATATCAATTCAAGATATGATAAATAATGGCTTTTCACAAGAATTATGTGAAAAATTTCAGGGGGGATTTCCCGAAAATTGGAAAGAAATTTTACATGATGAGTTTAAAAGTGCTTGGTTTTCGGACTATATTATACCATTAAATGAAGATGGGGATATGAATGTGTCAAATGATACCACAAAATCAGATATTGATGATTCTAATATAATATATTCTGAAATTGAGACTTCTGATGATGAACATACTAACACAGATAATTCAGATAATTCAGATAATTCAGTTGTTAATTCAGATAAGTCAGAGTATTATTCGAAATTTAGTAAAGAAGATCTCGATCAAAATAATTCTGATGATAATTATCCTATTGTACAAGTGATTATTGATAATTCTAATATTGACATTCAATTAGATGATTACTGCTTAACAGAAAATGAGAGTAACGAGAAGCAACAATTAGAATTAAATGATTTTAATGATAGTAACGAAGAACAACAATTAAACTTGAATCATTTTAATGAGAATGAGAATAACGAGGAGTTACAATTGGACTTGAACAATCCTAATGAGAATAACGACGAGTTACAATTGGACTTGAACAATCCTAATGGGAATAACGACGAATCACAGTTGGAATTGAACAATCCTAATGAGAATAACGAGGAACTACAATCGGACTTGAACGATCCTAATGAGAATAACGAGGAACTACAATCGGACTTAAACAATCCTAATGATAATAGCGACGAACTACAATTGGACTTGAACAATTCTAATGAGAATAACGAGAAGCTACAATTGGACTTGAACAATCCTAATGAGAATAACGAGGAGCTACAATCAGGGTTGATCAATCCTAATGATAATAACGAGGAACTACCGTTGGACTTGAATAATCCTAATGATAATAACGAGGAACTACCGTTGGACTTGAATGATCCTAATGAGGATAAAGAAGAGCGACAATTGGGCTTGAACGATCCTAACGAGAATAACGAGGATCTACAATTGGACTTGAACAGTCCTAGTGAGAATAACGAAGATCTTCAATTTGACCTGAACAGTTCTAGTGAGAATAACGGGGATCTACAATTGGACTTGAACAATCCTAATAAGAATAATAAGGATATACAATTGGACTTGAATAGTCCTAGTGATAATAACGAGGATCTTCAATTTGACTTGAACTGTCCCAGTGAGAATAACGAGGATCTACAATTTGACTTGAACAGTCCCGGTGAGAATAACAGGGATCTACAATTTGACTTAAACAATCCTAATAAGAATGATAAGGATCTACAATTTGACTCGGACAATCCTAATAAGAGTAACAGGGGTCTACAGTCTGACCTGAACAATCCTAATAAGAATAATGGAAAGCGACGATTAGACGCGGATGATTCTAATAAAAATAGCGGGAAGCGACACTTGGAGTTGAACACTTCTAATAATAATAATGGAAAGCGACAATTGAGTTATAAAAATTGGAATAAGAATAACGGGAGGCGACGATTAGACGTGGATGATTCTAATAAAAATAATAGGAAGCGACATTTGGAGTTGAACGATTCTAATAAAAAAAATAATGGGAAGCGACACTTGGAGTTGAACGATTCTAATAAAAAAAATAATGGGAAACGACACTTGGAGTTGAACGATTCTAATAATAATAATGGAAAGCGACAATTGAGCTCTAAAAAGTGGAATAAAACTTCTAAACCAACAAAATCAGAAGCTGTTACAATAACATCTTCTGGTCGTCGTATCCGTAGACCAGGTTCTTGGTGGGTAATTCGCCCTAAAATTAAGGAGAAATAGGGTTGGTTGAAGTTAATTTAGGTTTGGTTTTTTATGTTCCACATTAAAAACCTAAAAACCAGGTTTTTATATAATAAGTTTCAAACCCAAACCTGGTTTGGTTTAGAGCCAAAATTTAATACCTGGTTCTCAATATTTTGTAAGATATAAAAAATTAATAAAAGTTAATTCGTATCAAGCTTTTAATCTTCTGAATAACTTTTACCTAATATGCTACTATTGATTTATTTTTAATAAAATTTTGGCTTTTATAAAGGTAAAAATAATATGGCAAGTGGCAAATCACATAATATCAAATTCTATCAAATAGAGTCTAATGATTCTTATATCATTCAATTTGTCTCATCAAGATGAATCGAAGAATATAAAAAACATTCATTTCTCCTCACTGGATTACGTATCAAAGAATCATATAAATGACCTTCCTTAAGACATCAACATGAATGTCAATAGAATCTATAACTTTAATTCAATTTTTTCTTGGATAATTGTTATGAAAGGTAAATATCAATAAATCTTATCAAGGTTGAACCAAACATATCGAGCCGTATTTACAGAACTTCTTGGTTAAAATTTGCGGTCAACTATAATCAATCGGTTTTTATTGTGAGTCCTATCATTTGCTGGACATTGGTTAAATAAATTTTTGGTAATGTGACTTTTGTATTATATGCAAATCAATCTTCTATTACGTACGTACTGTATTTATCCGGTCCAATTCTTAAGATACAATTCATTTCAAATACATCGATTAATAGCCTTCATGCTAGCGATTAGAAGGTTCGAAGGACTTTTATACATGTGGTTGTTCATTTTCTGAATAACCGATCAATAAATTAACAGTATAAAATAGAATTTATTAGTTAACAAGTTTCCAAGTTACGCTTTAGTTTTAAAATTACACTTGAATGGCCCAATTTTAGTATCAGAACTTGGATCTGTCGCATCGAATATCATTAAATTTACTCATGAGCGCACAAGCTTTATCTCTTGATTCTGTGATTAGATTTAGATGATTTTGGACTTGTTAGAATCATATTAAAGAGGTGAATATGATGATAATAAAATTATTTTTTTTAAAAACTTATAAATTAAAAGTTATTTGCTTTTAAAATTTTAAAAAAAAGCAAACCCTAAAAAAACCTAATTTAATTTCAAAAATGCACTCATATGAGAGTTTGGCGATCGAACCCCTAATTCTTCTGCTATATCACTTTTAGTATATTTACTAATTGCGGTATCATTTATAGCTGTTTTCATAAATTTTGTAATATCTAAAAATTTTCTTGTTTCTTAAAATCTTTTCGATCTTGTTCTAAAAATCATCTAACTTTTGGAAACCACTTCATGAAGCAGTTTTTAAAAAGTTAAGTAATTCTTAGAACAGGATCGAAAAGATTTTGGAAAACAAGAAAATTTTTAGATATTTTAAAATTTATGAAATAGCTATAAAGTTTAGGAAAAACTATTCCAAATTAGAAAATTATTAGGAAGATTGTTATACAATTTAATATAGGAGCAAAAAAATTTTTTATATATTTTACAATATATTTTTAGAAGCTTTATGTAATTTATTCTTTCTACAGTGCAGGAATTCTTAAACCAACAACTTTTTTAAAAGTAGTCAAATTTGAGCCAAAATACTAAAATTTGATTGGTTAATTTTTTAAATTTTTATTATGTTTTTTAAATTTGTATTATATTTTTTAAATTTTTATTATATTTTTATATATATGTGGTCAAATTTTTTTTTTTTTATCTTTGGCAAGGAAAGTTGGTGATGCTTTATTAGATATATACATAAATATATATACAATTTTTTTAAACTATTTATAACCTATTACTAGGTTATATTAATCTAACTAGTGTTTCAACCTAGATTGGGTCAATCTGGGTATACCTGGATAGATCAGGTATTTGGGTTGTGATCATGGTCACCTGGGTAGACTTAGACAGGTCAACCTGCAGGTTGACCTATGGTTGATCTACAGGTTAACCCATAGGTCAGCCTACAGATCAACCACAGCTATACAAAATCCAATTATCATTTTTTCAATTTAATAAATTAGTAATTATAAATTATATTTCATATAAGAAATATCTTTATAGCTATTATTATTATTCCTGAAATACCTGATAATATCATCCAAATAATTTTTCTGCTGATTTGATTAAGTTTATAATTTCGGTATAATGATAATAAATCTAAATTGATATAATTTAAGATCTAATAACTAATATAAATATTACAAAGTTTTAATCTATACAATATATCTCTGATTAGATACAAAAACATGCACTTTCAAAACATCTTCGTTAACAAAAATAATATTTTAATTGTACTTAATATTCTTGGAACATTTATTATTTTGGCTAATGTACATTAAATCTAGATGTTTAGTATAATAATTAGCAACTTTTTGATTATTTTATTAGCATCTAAGAATTGCTTTTTAATTGTATTTGTGTTATCTGAATTTTCATAATTTCAACCCAATTATAAAGTTTATTCTAAATGTTTTAAGCATTAGATCATTTTGCAAATCAGAATCTATGCAAATTAATATAATAATCAGGAGTTCTAGAAGCAAATTTAGGCTGTAATTTGATGCAAATCTTTATTGCAAGTTTATCATCAAAATAACTATCGAAAAATATTCTCTAGATAACACTTTCGATATAATGACTCTGAAATTATAAATATTAGTAGCTGATATAAACTTTTATCCTAATAAAATTTCTGGTGCAATATAAAAAGACATCATAAATATCTGTCTTTTAGACAATCCTATATATAAGATATAAGATTGCAGACTTTTGCCAATGCCTTCATTCTTCTAAATATTAATACTGAAAGTTTCAAATCTTTTGAAATATTGTCAAGTATATTAGCAAAATTTAAATATAGTTATATATTGATATATAATAATTTATCGAAATATATCAATTAAAAATAATCGATATATATCGATAAATTAGATATATATCAATATATATTAATAATCGATATATATCAATAAATAGATAAAAATTGATACATAGCTATAAAATAATATATATCATTATTAAATATTTTAATATATATTAATAAGTAAATAGATATCGATATATATTTTATGTATTGATAAAATTTGATATGAGAAAATAATCAATATATATAAATATATATTGAATTTATCATTTTTAATTTTATTGCTTATATACAATTATTGATATTTATTGATACTTATCATATATAATTATATATATATATATATTTATCATTATATTAATATACTATAATAATTAGAACATATACACTTTAAATATAATATATACTTTAAATTATTTAGTATATGCTAATTTAGAACATAAAGCAGTTCACTAGATATTCATTCATTTTATTAAATTTTGGAACTATATAAACAGTTCTATCTATACTCTCTAATAATATATAACTATAGTATTTGAGCAGTTTTAATTTTGGATACTCCATAATTCACCATCTTCCTCATACTAGCAAACTAAAGTGAGTTCAAGTAGTTCTTTATTTATCTCTTTATAAAATCCGAGTATTATTAGTATCTTAAAAGAATATTCATATTAGTTATATATTACTCTTGAAGTTAGTAAAAATGAATATATACTCTAACTTCAAGAGATATTTCACTTATTATCATTATTACCTAATTTTTACTAGTATTTATTATTCTATTAAACACATGAAAATTTAATTAATACTTACCAAACTATACTAATTTATTTCGTATTTGCTATTAAAACCATTAATTATAATATTTGAAAATATTGGTTTCCTATGAAAACTTGATGTAGTACGAATTATATCAGTATTTTTTTTTTTTTTTTTTTTTTAACGTCTACCCTCTTGGGAGCTGTGATTTTTTATTCAAGTATATATAGCAAGAAGTTCTCTAGGGAACTCCCTACATTAGAGAATATATACTAGCCACATGTACACTTTTGGTGTCTAATTTAAGTAGTCCGCCTGTACATCATACAGGTTCTACACTAGA